TAAAGATGAGATTTGGGGTAAGACGGAGTGGGTTAATACTGTGCTTGAGATCCCCAACTCATATTACACCTTAACTTGTGTAGACGTGTAGCCGAAATTTGGAAGTGAGGTTATGCTTAATGTCTCTAGCGAGTCATACAAATTCGTTGCATTTCTTAACCCTTTTAGTTTGATGACTCTTAGAGATGGTATGGTCGTTCTTTTTTTTTGCTTTGAACGTGTTGTTTTGTTTTCCTTTGAGACAAGCCCTCTTTTATTGGTTTTTTATGGTTTTTCATTTGAAGAATTTGACTTGCAAGTGAAGTTACTATCATAATATTAAATAAAATAACTTGGAATGCGGAGACTTAAAGACTTTCAGGGATGACCAAAACAGGGGGAGTAATACGTGCTGTACTATTTTTCCTTCACCATGGTTTTGTCCCAATGGGTTTTCCTGGTAAGGTTTTAATGAGGCAGCATCCCCAAACGTATTACTGAGATCCTTTGGCATCTACACGGTTATGTCATCCAAGGGGGAGTGTTGTAAACCACATAACGGATGGACTCCATAACCGTGGCCCATGTCCATGTTCTAGAAGGCCCATGTCTAGCTTTTAGAAGACTCGCCCAACCGACCAAGGCCAAAGACGGTTTATGTTAGTCTTAGTGGGCTTTAGTGTTTCCTAATCCAATTGGGATTTGTCTCCTCTATTGTGTATATATATAAGTTGTAACCTCATTCATTAATCAATAAGAATACACGAGATTCATAACAGATATATTTTTTTTCGGTCAACATGTATTAGCTTATTTATATTGAACTTAAATCGGTATATCATGATACAATTGTTGTTTCACCAAGGAGGCGGATGCTCGCACTCAGAATACAAGGCAGAAACATACAACCAAACTTAGCTAGCATATGAGCTGCATCATTACAACCACGTTTTGTATATAAAAAATAATGTTTTTTTTATCATTAATTTTGTCAAATGTAATTTGGTTTTGAATTTTGATATACCGACTAATCAAGTAACAGGAGGTTGGAGGATAGTGTGGGATCAAAAAGTTTTTACCAAGTACTAGACTGTGCACCGCATATACACTAATACACTAATAGAAGCAAAGGCAAAATTCTTATTAGCAGCAATTCAACAGGTTTGGAACAGAAGAATTACTTCGGTTTGCTTTGAAGGTGACTGCCGGGTACTCCTCATTAACACATCAACGGCCCATCTTATGACATCTATATTCCAATGTGAGACTCTAATACACTTCATTCACGCTCAAGACTAGACATCTGAAGCGTGAAGTTTGTGGGACTGGACATCCAAATGTGATAGCCCACAATTGAGAAGATTGGATATTGGCTCTGCTACCATATTAGAAGAATGAGAAAAGCAAGAAAGTTTGTTACATAAAAGAAGAAGCAACCTTATTCTGATTTATCTTAGTCAATATGTATACAATGAATCCTCATATAGGTAGAGGGTTCTGGTTAACATAATAGACCGAAATGAATTACACGGTTATGACTTAACCGCTATGATAAGTCTCAATTACTCTAATACATGACCTCCAAAGAAGTTGAACCAACACAGAAAAACAAGATCATGATGGTTCACTCTAGTTTTTGTCATTACAAAAAACATTCTTGCCCGTATCTCGAGATTGAATTACCCTTCACTCTCTCGCGTCTCCAATAGATTCCGAGCTGTTCTCAAATCAGAACAATCGAAATTTGTGTATATATGTCTGTCTATAAATGTCTGCCCGAACTGGTTTAATTAGTCTTTGGAAAAAAACCTAATCAAACCCGAAATAACCGGAGAGGGAAGCTTAAAAATATTTAGCCTAGCGTGAATGATTTTGAATTTATAATATATTTCCTTCAAGGCCAAAACAATGAAGGGAAAATTGGAAATAAAGGATATCTACTTAAAAATTTGTCCATATACACCTTTTTTGTGAGATTGTCAGTTTGGACGATTTTACCCCTACACCCTAATTTAAATGTTTTTTTTAAAAAATAATCATAAAAACAGGTAGATATACAAGAGTAGAGGTGATTTGAAGTGAAATTTTTGAGATTTGGTTAAAAAAAAGTTGATATTTTGATAGATAAAGTTTCGTCTAATTTTGTTAGAACTCGTTTTCTAGAGTTGTGCGAGAGTCAGAGTGTGTATTCTATATTTTTGTACATGTTCTACATATTTTAGACTAGTTTTCTGTTCTAAAAATTTTAGAAGTCAGAAAATCATATATCTAAAATATTTAGAACATGTATTCTACGCTTTGCTCTATGTTCTAAATCTTTTTGAATAGCCGTTCTACTAATTTCTACATCTTCTACCATCGTCAGAAATTGTAATCTTCTTTTAGAATGTAAATTCTACTATACTATAGATTTTGTTTTCTGAAATTTTTAGAATTCCTTAAATATAGAAAGTAAATCTTCAGAAAAGGAAAATAAATATTTATTGTAGATTACGTTTTAAATGGATATTAATTGTTTAGATTACGATCTATGTAATTTAGAAATCGTTTTCAACGTTTTTTAGAAAAAGTTAAAACCAAAAACGTTTCTAAACCCTAAGCTAAGCCACCACTTTCGATTTTTTTGCTACTCCCTGCGTTTTTCTTTCGAATTCTCTTTTTTTTTTTCAACGTTTTGTGTCTTATCATCAACTAAAAAAAAGGATAAACAAGTGTGTGGACATGTTTTTTTTTATATTTTTGATAAGACAAATATTTCCAAAGCATCAATCAAATAAGAAGGCATCATCATAGTAAAAAAAAAAAAAAAAAGTGAAAGGAGTTTTTCTATTTAGTAGAGACCACTTCAACAAGAAGAGGGACACTTGTTTAATCCTACTTACTAGTCTCCTTAATTAGCTCTTTAGTAGCCCTTTGGTTTCACTGTAGCAACATGTTGTTCACATAGAGTATGAGGAATACTATCATGTTCAAGTCAACCTATATGATTCAACACAAACCAATGTTCTTTAGAGATACAAATGATTGTTTATTATGTCAAAACGAGAATGAGAAATCTTACATTGTCGAAGAGATTAATCTTGCACCTGAGAGAGGTCAATTAAAAAATCGGAAGCTCAAATTGATATCTAAGAAGATTGAACATTTGAACAACATAATCCCTTTTAGATTTCTATTTAATTTTTGTAAATAGATTAGGAAGTTTTATTTTTTAAATTAATTTTGAATTAATTTTGAGAGAATATGAGGGTAAAGTTGGGTTTTGATTTTTAAAAAACCTATTTGACCAATCTACAAGAAAATGGGATATATGGACAATTTTTTAAGTAGATATCCTTTTTTTCCAATTTTTCCCATAATGAATATATCCCCCGGGCCCCTAATAGCATTGATGCCTCAATTCTTCTAAAACCCTAAACATATTTTACAAAACCCTAATCTATCATCTTTCATCTCCACCGCTTGCTTTTGCAATTTCTACCAACCCTGATCTCCAAAGTTGAACTACCTCAGAAAGAGAAGAAGAGTTTGAGGTCTCAGATAATGTCGTTTTCATCGCTCCCAGACGAAATCATAGAGAACATTCTTGCACGTATCTCTAAATGGACTTACCCTAATCTCTCTCTCGTCTCCAAAAGATTCCTCTCTCTTCTCTCTTCCCCGCAACTATACAAGACGCGATCTCACATCGGAACCACCGAACCATGCCTCTATCTCTGCTTAAAACTGCGTTATGATTCATCTCATCCCCAATGGTTTCCTCTTTGGATGAAACCTGATGAAAACCTCACCAGTAACGGCGAGACTATGCATGACTATTCGTTGATTCCGCTACACTCTTCTTCCTATTCTTCACCCGTACTATATAAGAATTCCACCGTATCTGTTGGTTCGGAAATCTACGTAATCGGTGGACTCCTCCAGGCTCCGTCTTCTTCTGTTCGGATCCTTGATTGTCGGATTCACATGTGGCGTGATGGGCCTAACATGACGGTAGCTCGATCCGAGCCAACCACTGTTTACCTCGATGAGAAAATATATGTCATGGGAGGTTGCAAGAATGATGAGTCTACCAATTGGTTAGAGATATTCGACATAAAGACTCAGTCTTGGAGAGCTTTGCCTGGTCCTGTTACTGATCAAGAGTTACGTTGCAAATATATTAATGTCCCCGTTGCTTTTAAAGGAAAGCTTTACGTAGCGGCAGAGACAAAAGACTACACTTACGAGCCCAAAGATGGTACATGGAATGTCGTAAGAGAGAAATCGATATTCAAAGATATAAGACATTGGTGTGTGATAGAGGATGTAATGTACTCTTGCACTTACGTTGGGTCTTTAATGTGGTATGACTCTGAGGGTAGAGAGTGGAGAGAGATAAAGGGTTTGGACGAATTTAATGTCTGCCTTACATGGTATTTAAAAAAGATGCTTGTCCATGGAATAGTTAATTATGCTGGGAAACTTGTAGTTATGTGGAGGCAGTGGTATAATGAAGTTGGGTTCTCTAAGATTGCGTTAGAGAAGCGCCATAAAGATATTTGGGGTAAGACGGAGTGGGTTAATACTGTGCTTGAGATCCCCAAGTCATATTACACCTTAACTTGTGTAGACGTGTAGCCGAAATTTGGAAGTGAGGTTTTTAGTAATGTTGAGTCAATGTTATGCTTAATGTCTCTAGCGAATCATACAAATTCGTTGCATTTCTTAACCCTTTTAGTTTGATGACTCTTAGAGTTAGAGATGGTATGGTCGTTCTTTTTTTTGCTTTGAACGTGTTGTTTTGTTTTCCTTTGAGACAAGCCCTCTTTTATTGGTTTTTTATGGTTTTTCATTTGAAGAATTTGACTTGCTAGTTACTATCATAAATTCATAATATTAAATAAAATAACTTAGTCACTGAAATTGCAAAAAATGTAGAGGACACAAGATGATCCTCTTCAAAAATAGATACAAACATTAGTGAGTTTTGTCAGTTTCTTCAAGATTCTTTCACACTCGTGTCATTCTCATCCACGAATGTGAAGGTGAAAGAGCTAAAGCAAAGAAGACCCTACAGATTCCAAATCTTGATGACGTGGATAAGCTAGTGACATGCCACGTGGACGTAGAAGCCCAAAAGGCTGATTTTCTCTTATCATCTTCCTAATCTCTCTTTTATACAACTTTACTCTCTCTGTTTCTTCTTCTAAAACTTTTCACAAAGTCTTTGAGAAACAAGAATCTTTACTCGGAGATTAGGGACAAAGAGATGTTGAAGAGTTCAAAGATCTGATCTTTGAGAGAGATAATGAGAGAAATGACGGCGAGGTCTGCGGTTTTATCGTCGGGGATGTTCAGAAGTTACCACCGGCCGGTAACGACGGAGGTGAGGTCAATAATACGGTCGAGAGTGAAGTGCCAAGTGTCATCCGTAAAACCCGCCACGTATTCATCAAAACTCTCAACAGATATTCCTCTCCACGAGTCTCCTCAGGTCTACTTCTCTTCTCTTTAATACGCATCGATGTTTTTTTTTGTGGGTTTAATTGAGATTTTGTGGAATTTTTCAGGCTTTGTTCGATGAGTATTTGGAAGATAAATCAAGATTATTCGAAGCAATGTTTCCAGATAAACCCAGAAGTCATAGGCTTAACGAGGTAATATTGAAGTTATAGTTAATTATGAATAGTGGAAGTAATGTTATCATAATTGGGCATTTGGTCTAGTGGTATGATTCTCGCTTAGGGTGCGAGAGGTCCCGAGTTCAATTCTCGGAATGCCCCCATTTTTTTTATTTTCTTGTCTTTTTAATTTGAATGAATTCTTATTTGTGTGTAGGAAGAATGGAGAATTCAGATGTTACCAATAAACTTCCTCTTCCTTACTGTGTGGCCTGTGGTGGATATGCGGTTAAGATGCAAATCCAACGGTCAAGATTATCCGCCAGATGTACCTTTAGATATAACCAAAGTTCTTGAGCTCAACATGGTAATCAACACACACTCATGTCTCTCTCTTTTTTTCTTTAGTTTCAAAACTTGTAACTAGGAGTAGGCATGAAGTAGATATTTCCGTGTTTTAAATTTTAGTATTTGTGATTTGCTCTGTTTCTAACGGATATCGTTATAACGGATATTATGGATATTTTGTCCAACCATGTTTGTAACAAAGTGTACATTTTTTGAATTACGGTTTTTCAGATGAGATGGAAGCTTAAAGGGCTTGATCGAGTAATGGAACCGTCTGATTTCAGTTTGGAAGTCAAAGGAGCATTGTACCCTGACCGAAGAGGAAAGCATACAAGGCTCAGAGGTCAACTAGAGATGAACATAAGCTTTGTACTTCCTCCGGTTCTTGAGCTAGTACCTGAAGATGTTCGGAGAAACTTGGCCAATGCGGTTAGAAATTGTTACATAAAACTCTATATTAGTATCTTTGGACTCAATTGTCCGGGATTGTACATGATCTCTAATTTTGAATTTCCTTTACAGGTTTTGACCGGTTTAGTGGAGAATATGAAGCATAAGGTTAATGGGAGCTTGCTTGCTGATTATAGCAGGTTCAAGAATGAAAGAAAATTACAAAAGTAATCGAGTAAACCCGATTTTTCTCGTCACTGTTCGAGTTCGACCATGTATAGAGTTTTCAATTCGTTCATATATCAGGTGAAAAGGAGTCCCGAATTCTTTATGTGCAAAAACCTTAAACGTCAAGTATTTTGAAACAGGAGTATTAGCTAAAGCTTCGTTCAAACCTTAAAACATCAAGTATTGGTACAGTCTCGTTAGGCTGGAATTGGTTAAACAAGATTGGACTCTATAGACAACTTTGAAATTTGAGTGAGAGAAAAAGATAAGGTCTAAGTTTTGTCAACCCTCTCTATGAAAGCGAGGGTTAATTAGTTCCTTTCAACTTTGAATGTTGTCGTGTCAGTCTCATCCACGACCGAATGCGTGAAAGACTGAGTAATCAATACAGATTTCACGACTTTGATGACATGTAACGTCTTGTAATTACGACACATGGACGTAGAGGACTAAATAAACCAATATTCCAAAACTCTACCGTGACGGTTTTAATCTCTCGGTCTCTTTCTTAATCTTTCACAAAAGTCTCAACGTATAGAGAGAAACCAAGACGCAATCTTTTAGTATAGATAGATTGAGAGATAAAGATATGTGGGAAAGATCAAAGATCCAATCTTTGTGAAATGGCGGTAAGCTCTGCGGTGTATTCATGGCCGGCGATGCTAGGAAGTTTCCGGCAGGTGAGATCAAAACGGTGGAGAGTGAAGTGTCAGTTGTCACCTGTAAAACCTGCCAAATATTCCTCTAAAATATCAACCGATATCGCTCTACACGAGTCTCCTCAGGTCTCTTTCTCATCCTATAATGGGGTATGTATATGTATATACACACATGAATGTTTTAATATTGAATCTCTTGCCGATCTTTGCAGGCGTTGTTCGATGAGTATTTGGAGGACAAATCGAGGGTTTTCGAAGCAATGTTTTCCGGATAAACCCAAAAACCATAGGCTTAATGAGGTACCATTCTATTTTTAATTTTTTCAGGCGATCCTCAAGACTCCCTTACTTGCTTTTACTCCAAGGCATGTGATTAAAAGTGTTTATTCTATTTGACTGTTTTTAGTGATTTGAAAATTTGATAAATCTTTTGAATTATTCGACCATCGACTTTGAACTTTTGATGATAGTGGAATAACAAAATAAAAAAAGTGAAACACTTCAATTGAATTACCAACATTAGAAACTATTTTTGTAAATTAATGATTTCTGATTCCTTTAGTTAAATTTTATTTCAAAATCATTCAAAAGTGAAAGTTTGATGAATGTTGTAGAGTGTAAAAATAAATAGCGATATCACATTTTTTAAATTATGTGCAGGAAGAATGGAGAATCCAAATGTTACCAATAAAATTTTTCTTCCTCACTGCGTGGCCAGTGGTGGTCATGCGGATTAGATGCAAATCCAACGGCCAGGATTACCCATCGGACGTACCTCTACACATAACCAAAGTTCTTGAGCTCAACATGGTAATATCACCACATGAATTACAAATTCACTAGTCAGATTTTTGTTTCTTTAAACATTTGTGATTTTCAGACGAAATGGGAGCTTCAAGGGCTTGACCGAGTAATGGAACCATCTGATTTCACTCTCGGAGTCAAAGGAGCATTGTACCCAGACCGACGTGGAAGGCAAACAAGGCTCAAAGGTCGACTAGAAACAAGCATTAGCTTCGTGCTTCCTTCAGTTCTCGCACTTGTACCAGAAGATGTTAGGAGAAACATGGCGAACGCGGTAAGAAACTGTTTCGTATATGCGTTTGGAAAATCAAAATGCTATGTTCCGGGTTTACACATGACTTTTATGTTTTTGATTGGCCCTTTACAGATTTTGGCCGGTTTGGTGGAGAGCATGAAGCATAAGGTTATTGAGAGCTTGGTCGCTGATTATAGCAAATTCAAATATGAAAGAAAAACACACAACTAGTAGTTAATATATGAACAATCGTAGATCTCGATTGTATAATCATGTATAGTTCTAGATCCAATATATGAACAATTGTAGACCTCGATTGTTTGAAATAATTGAGGCTTTTAATCTCAATGTTTAACCATGTATAGTTCTGGATTTGATATGAACAATATACGTGACACTTAAGTGGAAGCTTGACTTGCTTAATGTGTATAGTCAAATTTAGAATACAAAGGTGGCAAAGACAATTTTTCACACAGAAAGAAGAAAGATGATAAATCGAAGATTAACAAACGAACACAACAGTTCTTTGATTTGGTCGGACTTAGTTACAGAGGCTTACTTGGCGAGTTTGAAGTACAAGATGACGATAATGGCGGCAATCAAAGCAGTGATAATAGCTCCAATTGTCCATTTGTTCTTGTTCATCCTCCTCGTCATGCCTGTCAATATCTTCTTGCTTTTTCCAACGTTATCGTCTACTCCATGCAACTGTCGAGAGAGTTCTAAATTTTGGTTAGCGCGATTTCCAGAGTAGATAAAGAAAACAAGAAAACGTAGTCTTCTTCATGAAATAGCCCTTAATTCTCATCTTATTTTGTTACTTAGGTTTAGAATACCGTTTCGTGGGCGCGTAGGAGAGACTGTCTCTGACTGTGCAAGTCTTGGAGGATTGAAACACCGATCTCTTCAGTCTCCATCATCGTTCTACGGCTGTCCTTGACTCTGTCAGTGGTTCGGCCCAAACGCTCAGTTGACATCATCAATCTTGATCTTTGATCAGCTGAAGCCTGACCTCAATGGCGTGTCAATAAAAAGATATCAAAAGTTGTTTTACTTTCAAAGATTGACATGAGATTAAATTGAAACAATACTACTGAGTCCTTTACATACCGTCTTTGTGTCAGCCATACCAGCTTCCAGTAACTCATCTCGAGCAGCAGCGTTCAACTGTCCAGATGTGATTCTCTTCACTTCAGTTTTGAAATTGTTCAGATCAGACTTGAATTCTCTTAATTTGACAAGGAGGCTGGACTTAAGATTTGGTGGAAGGCTCCTTGCCTCAAGATCCATTTTCCTAATCTAGTGTAAACACAAAGAAAAGCATCGTCAAAATGCAAATGTAAAGAAACTTCTACTGTATATTCCATTCAAGTTATGCCTATCACATACCAATACTTCTGCATTATCCAGGCCAGATTTGATTTCAGACAACTTCTGCTTCTTTTGTTCTGCAAATCAATAAGGTATCATCTATGCATTTTTAGCTATGCAATCAACAGAGCATACTAATACAGGGAATAAAAAACAATGCCGATGATCAGCGACCACTACTAAATCACAAGCTCTCTTCTCATCAGCGACCAAAGAAAGCAAACGAAATTCACATTACTATGTCCTAGCAACGCATGAATGAGACACGAGCTTTATAGTCATGAAAGGATATAAAACGCACAGTACTATACTATGCATCATACAGAAACCAAAGAATCTATAAATTGTTCTCTGCATCTAACAAAAACCGAAGTATCTCCAGTGGCAAAAATGGCGATGATCAGCAACCAATACTAACAAGCTCTCTTCGTAATCAGTGGCCAATAATATGTACTTACAACGAATGAAGGAGAGACGAGGTTTGTAGTAATTAAAAGGATCTAAAACGCACAGTACTAAAGCATCACACACACAACCAAGGTATCAATAATCCATACATGGTTACATTCTAAACCAGTAGGTTGTTTCAAATCTACCTTCTTCATTGTCTACAATTCTCTAACGAAGCTAAGGTCATGCCTGTGGAGAGAAAATGTCATATCTTAGAAAAGATTAGAGAGAGATCAGTTTTACCTCCATCAAGCGCAACAGCTGAGGAACACTTCTTTGAAAGACTCGCAGAGAGCTCACAGTATTGCCGCTCATATCCATCAAATGCTTCACTCATTGTTCCAGGAGGAATACTACTACACTCTGCAGAATCAGCAACACACAATGATGATGAACAAAACAAATTAAAAACCTAATTCTGATTAAGAACAAATTCATCAACAAGACTAGGTTACTGAAATTCTTACAACGATTCAAAAGAGAAAACTAAAACCGATTGATTGATTTCTAAAACAATCCAAAACCCTAAGATATTGTGAATTCAGAGGAATGTCAACACGCGGTTTACGGAGAAAAAGGAGAAAAAGATAAGCCAGAAAAGTAAAATTGACGGATCAAAAGAGAAAAAGGATGACGAATAATTGACGAAAATTCCGGTGATCGGAAGATATGGAAGAGTTTTGCCGGAGTAGAAGCAATTGAAGCACAAAATTAGAAAGCAAAATCACAATCAGAAAATAGCGACTAGGCGAAAAATAGACATAAGATAGATTAAGACCTGATAAACGAACGGGGAAGGAGAGGTACGTCGGAGAAACTAAATCGATCGGAGGAGATCCGGTGAAGAAAATTGTGGAAGACGACGATGAATTGATTTGATATGAATGTTCGACGGTTGAGTAAAATTATATCCTCCTACAGCTACATAGACTTTTTTTCGTACACCCCACCACCTGTCTTTCTTTTTTTTTTTTTTGTTTGTCTAATAAATTATTATTTGAAAATATTTTGATTTCTCTTTATCTAATTACCTAGAGTTAGGGTTTGTAGGTGGGTCTACGAAAGTCTGTGTATAAGGATGGGTGGTTCTATTTGGCGTTTACCCTCTCGGATTTCAAGGATCCTCTTTGATCCTTCGCCTTCTCATTTTCATTGGCATTGAAGTGGTCGTGGTGGTTTGTTCTGATCTTCTTGCTTCGTCGTCTTCGTTTCTCCTGTGGAGGTGGTTGTGTGAGCTGGGATTTGTTCGTTTCTCGGACCTCAGTTTGTCTGATGGCAATCTAATTTTGGGTTTTTTTCTGAGGCTTCTGTTAGTAACCTCTCTTCAGCGCCAAAAGTGTTAGTCGGCTGTTTGTTGGGAAGAGTTTGCAGTGGCCAGTGTGTATGCTTTGGAATCTTTAATTTTTTTTTTTCAGCTGTTTCCATGTAATCTTTTTTCTAAAATTTTTGTTGTTAGTTCGCTTTTTTTGGGCCTTAGTTTCTGGGGGTTTCTATTTACCTGCCAGCTTTGTTTCCGAAAGGATTTTAATCTTTGTTGTCTCTATATAATTCAACCGTATTCTATCGATGAAATCTTTAGACGAAAAAAAAAGAGTTGGGTGTGCTTCACAATAAGCCCTCGGTTTGTCTTAAGCCTCTGTATAAACGGTGTACGCCCAACAATTTCCAAATTGCCTCCAAATATATTTCCAATCAAACCCATAATTTCAACGTAACATTCCATAAAACCCCCCAAAAACTCCAGACTCCAAAGTATTATATAATCCCCTATATTAAAAACAAAAAAGCTATACTGCAAAAAAAATGTCGATATTCTTGAATATGCTTTTTCATCTGTATAGAACAATTTTTCTCTATTCCACCACCGTCTCAGGCCTCATTTTCCAGTACCGGAGAATCCTCAGGCTTTGCGTTTCGTCTCTGAAACTGATCGAGCTCGTCTTGTGGGAAAACTTCAGATTGCAGAGAAGGAGAAATCTTCTTAACGTGAAGCCACGTTAGTTGCCAGAAACTGTCACTTCCGATATCATCACCTGGTAATAAAACTCCCGTCGCCTTCATTACCAGCAATGTGTTCTTGAGCAGTTCAGGGATGAGTTCATGGACTTTCTCGCTGCGTTTTCCTCTGAATTCGGTTGACATGTAAGTTTCCAAACGGTTCAAGACACCAACCCAAAGTCTGCAGAATGATGGTTGCTGTGAGATGTCTTGAAGAGATTGAAGAAAAGCTTTTGACATGAGCTTTGTGGCGAGAACAAGCGTTTCTTCAACTGTTTTCTTGAAATTCTTCCTTGAATTCTCGATCGCAAAAGCGAGCGATTTGTCTAGCAATGGGAAGACTGCGGAATCAAAGCACTGGAACCATATAGGTTGTGGTAACATGATCCCGTCTGCACCAGCTATAGCTCGTTGCAGCATCAAAATTGCATGGTTTCTCACTTGGTCGCGTTGATCATAACATACTATTTGGAGCTTGTTCACAAGTGCGAGCCACATTTCTCCAATATCTTCACTTAGTTTCATCATGGCATCAGTTTCACCAATCGAGTTTTTTGCCTCTTGAGACCATCTTGCAAGACAAAACACAGAGTTTGACATTAAGTCAATTGCTGAGATAGACCGATCGATTTCACCAACTCGGGATATAGCAAAGTTCTTAGCTGCATCCAAACAGAGCTCGTAGTTTGATGGTAACAAGTGAGCTCCTTCTGACATTATAAACCGGAGGGCTTCAAATCCCGCATCAGAAGCTTCTGGATGCCGAGCTGTGATTGATAGCAGAGATATGATCGTTCTCCAACCAGTATGGGATCTAATGTGAGATGCGTTTGCTTTTACAAGATGGACAACTTCTTGTGTAATGCGTTCGCAGTATGCATCAGCCACTCTTGGTTTAAGCTTGAGAACCAGTTGGAGTGATTTCAGAAGTTCATCTGTTAGGTTTTCCTTGTATGGTAATAATCTCTGGCAAATCTTCAGTACACCAAAAACAGCCTTTTCAACAAGCGTGCATGGTGTTAATGTTGGTTGAACTATACCCAAGATATGCTCATAAACAGTTTGCCAAATCAGTAGGATTCTGTCTCGGTTGTTCAGAGTTACTGCAATTAGAAGCTCCAGGCAAAAGACTGAACTAGCTTCATCTTTCCCGGATGCTTTTATAAGAGAGTTAACAAGCTGCTGCAGAGACTGAGCTTGGAGAAACTTGCTGTCTGAGAATATGCTATCAATATGACAATCTTTCACTATCCCACGAGCATGTTTATAAGCTGCCAGTTCTTCCTCGGTTGGTAATGGCTTTGTCTCCTCGGAATCAAAAGACATAAGAAACCGACCAATAAAACTAGATGATTTTCGAGGCGTCGCTGAGGGTTGTGACTGTGATACGACTGGCAGGGGATTTGCCGAAGGTTTTTCTTGCTCCAAGCTACTAGT